TATACACAGACTATTTGTGCCCTTATTTTTGCAATTCACAACACAACAACATCTATTAATAGGCATTTTAAAAAATTTTTGTTTATTACGAACTCCGTGCAAATTGACTTTACTTTCCCGGATTGTTGCGTATTTCTGCCACGATAAGCGCTGTGATCGCTTCACTATACCCCCACCATGTACTTCGCACATAGCGAATAATGAAACTAATTTTCAAGCAATCGCCTTTGGTAATAGCTGCAGGATAATTAACTGTACGTTCCCACAGAATATTATCGGAATGTTTTAATGTTCAGATGAATTTTTGATTTATTTTCAATAATAATCTGTTTTCATAGATTCAGATATTATCTTAAATCATGTAGGTTCGAATCGGATGTCGCCGACATCGCAAAATAAAAAAGCATGATTTATCCGCCCGTCATTAGTTAACGAATAGGCTGAAATTATGATGATGAAATTACAGCTAAATGCAAGAAAAAAATCAATTCGATAAAAAAGAATCGCACTGCCTTTAGAATTTTCAATCTAAAAAAAACAAGTTGTTATTTATAGAAAACTAGAACGGGAGCGAACACGACTGATGTAGGCCTGTCCGATAAAATAAAATACCCTTTAATATGACTGGAGCATCGCTTAATGGCTAAGTTGTAATAGATAAACCAACCAAAGACTCGAATGCACAACTGCACAATCAATATTTAGTTGAAATCGGTCCATACGTGTAGGATGATTACAATTATGTACATACATTCGGACAGAAGGAATATATACCAACAGAAATAATACAGGCTCCTATTATAATCCCACTTATAACCTTTGCAATTTTAAAATATCTTTATAAATCTGAGATCTGAATACACAACTTTGTTAATATCAGTCCAGACATGTAGGAGGATTACAATTACATACGTTCAAATAGAAGAAATAATACAGGCTCTACTATAACCTCATTTACAACCTTTGAATTTTTAAAATCTCTTTTAAAAGCTTGCCATAAGTTATGAAGTAATCATTGTAATGGACTGGCCGAACCGGATTTAAAACGAAAAGGGCTATGCTTTTATCGAATCGATTACTAAAACAAATAAAGATTAAAAGGTCGCACAAAAAATGTTTGGGTCCCCATCTTACAAGGCACAGTCCAATACGTTATCTCGATAGAAACGCCACACTACTGCTAACAAAAGAAGTATCTCTAAATGAATTAATTAATTTCTGGTATATATAAATCCATGCATAAAATGTGTATGTAACACAAATATATATTTGTTAACAGTTTCACGCCTTAGCCTACGAATTGTTGCAGCTGCAATAACTTTAGATTGTTCAAATTCGTCTTCTTGCTGTAAAGAGGCAAGAAATTAAAGTGTGTTTTTGCAGATCCCTCAAGGCTTTACAATAACGGTATGTTTTATTTTTTATTTAATCGTAATCGGTTACTGTATTAAATTAGTCGATGCTATTATTTGAATAAAAAAAATTAAAGCAACAGTACAAAGACATGACGAATTCGTCGTTCGTATAGGAGTAACAGCTTAGAGAGAGAGAAGAAAGAACAAATATTTTTTATATGAAAATATCTATTGGAGCGGGTGTGAGACTTTCTGATTAGTGACGACGCTAATCTTTACTCTATTCAACTTCCTCTGAGATAAACGGCAAACAAATAAACCCATGTTTCTTAAACCATTTTATCGAGAGTAAAGTTGCCCGGTATAAACAGAATGATAACCAAATTTCACATTTTGACGAAAATGATTCGCTTTATTAATACAATACTCTTCAAATTACTAGTATTGTAATGCGTTCAAAGTTTGGGAACAGCTATAATTTTAGGTTTTTTAATGTTACTTTTTTTTAATTATGATTTTATATGCGTATAAAATTCGATCTATTGAAAAACCAAGGTTCCAAGAAACCAATAAGGTTTCTTTACCCTTTGTCTCAGAGGAAGTTGAATGGAGTATAGTAAAAACATTATTATAGGTATTAGAGTCAGCATCTGTCAACTACTTCGATCATCTGTCAACTGTTTAAAATCAATGAAAATAGTAGAATGAAGTTTCAATAATAATTTTATTAAAATTTAATAAAAACGTTGTGGATTATTTGGGAGAAAAAAAAACCTTTAGGAAGTGGCCAGTCATTATAAACATAGAAACTATTTAAAAATAGTTTAACTGCAACGGTGAAACGGTACACTTTCGTTCTTTTGATCAAAATAACCCTAAAACACCACAGCGGTATTAAATCCCAACGATACCGAAAATATCATGTTTATTACAAATAAAAGTCCGCCTGAAGTAAATAACAGCCATAATCTCTTTAGAATCGTATTATCGGGCGGTTCATACGTTAAGCCTTTGATGTATTATTATCTGCTGAAATCAAAACGACGAAGAACGATAATATTTCGGGGTTCAATAAGAAAACAAAATATTTCTTTTATCGGCAGTTACGCATACTTAGTTCGCTTGGTAGAAAATACAGTGGTCGATTACAGCATTAACATGCCTACTCAGTTTGACAATATTCGTGGGATCAAAAGTTTTCGTGGAGTATAATTTTAAACAAGTCAAAGAACTGTCCAAGTATGGTAACATCATCATTCCAAGAAAAAACTACTGAATGTTTGAATCACTGGATTTATAGAGAAATCCTTAAAAGGATTCGATGGTTTGGCTGAAAAAGAACAGCCGGGAAATCCCTTATAATGTTTTTACTTTTATAATAATGATGAAATCATATTATTATTGACTCTCTTTTCAATTAATGGTACAGAGAAATGAAAAACTTTGAATTCTATAGAAAATGTTTTAATAGCCATAAAGTCATAATTATCAGTTTAAACAGATTATAATGACATATATTATCACAACAATTAACATAAATAACTTAAAAAGTACAAGATTATAAGTTGTATTGTTGAAAAAGAGCATCGCTAACAAGAAAATTTAGAAAAATAAAGCATTAAATTCAAATACAATTTCTTAATATGCTTAAAATTACATAGTTATCAAATCTCTTGAGAATGAAATTTTCTTTTGTAAAATTTTCACATTTTATCATGACAACGGCAGTTTATCTATAACTTTAGCTAGGGCTATTCTTGGGAATGTTACGCAACAATTAAGATTGCAGCGCTACATACAGTGTCGATCTGTATGTCGTGTTTTTAACCAAATTAAGAGCATGTATGTGGCTTTGAAAACAATATTCGTTGTTACTAGAAAGTTCGTACGATAAATAATGTCTAAGATAACTTTGATTACATAAAATACAGTTTTAGAATGAAATGTTTGTGTGTCGAGTAAATCAACAATCCCGGACCACTTGGATGGAAACTTGAACATACTGAACCCTCATCACATAACAGGGTTTGCTCTTCAAAATTAATACTGCGGGTCGAGCGTGACAAGAGGCTATAAAGGCCATGGTATGACAGAGGAATGTATGCACGACCCATGTGTATTATTGTGCCCTTTCACATTTAAGGGTTAAACTGTTTCTTTCACAGTATTCGCACAACATCGTCATTTTTATCGATACGAATTCTAATGCCAGGTGAAACCAAGGTCAACGCTTAAATCTATACTTATATTATAAAGAAGAAAGATTTGTATATTTGTAACGAATAAACTCAAAAAGCTAACCAGACTAAACTCAAACAGGACCGATTTTATAAACCATTTTACCATTAAAATGCTACATTATTCCTGGGTGTAATAGATTATATTTTAAAGCGTAAAATAAAGTTCACCCGTGCAAAGCCAGGGCGGATCGTTACTTTAATATTTATAAAAATTACCGAGTGTAAATATGTGCGTGATAAAAAAATAACAATATTAATATCATATAACAATAGGTAAATCAATATTAAAGCTCAAGCGAAATAAGAAAAAAGAGGATCACGAACAATATTTATTTTCAGCGGTTATCAAAACATCGATATTTTATTCTTCAATGAAGACCGCATTGCCATCTCTACAAAACTAACATTCAATGTTGCCATGTTTGTGTCTAATAATTCCTTATTAACATGGCTCGCCTGACGGTGATTATGTTTTAACTGATTTAATGTGTTTGTTCCTTTTTCGTGGTCTATAATTGTGGGATGATTTGTTGTAATAGGTCCTATCATTTTTTATCTTTTATTGTTTAATGCTTATGAGATACTTCTTTCTTTTTGTACTTTTTAATATCATGACAGTAATCATAATAAATATTTTGTTTTGCTCTTATATGTAGTTGTTCTTCTTTTTTAGTACCGTCTATATCAAAAGAGGGTTTTTGAAGTTATAAAAAAAATATACATAATATACATAGAAAACACTAGGTGAAATACAGTGATGATAATATTTAAAATAATTAAAAACAATCGCCAAAACTCAGACCTTGCATTTGGGATACTAAAATACCAACCAATGCAATACTTAAATTAAATTCCTATATAAACAATCTCAAACAGGAAATAAATATTGGGCTCATCATAAAAATATTCCTATATATTATCAAGATTGAATCTTATGTAGCGAAATTCGAGTAGCGTTGTTTCACCAAGCGGCTTTCTTTATATCAGTGGTACAATGACCAGATACTGAACTGATGACTTACAGGGTGCTAACGTTCAATAATGCATTAACTATTTATAACGAAAAGGGAACTTGTCAAACTATTGATAAAGTGCTTAATAATAATATGTAGCTGAAGTCCTTCGGCATACAGCCGTATTTTATAAAGTTGGCTCCTCCACTGAATATACTGCTATCGTGCAGAGTAACTTACATCCCTCCTTCGGAAATTTGTAGGCCCTCAAAATATGTTTACATGGTGCCTACTTGTGTATTCTGTTTGGGAACTTTAGTTGTTAAGACGGATATATAAACTTTCAATACAAATTAGACATAATGAAATAATAGGAGAACAAGAGTACGTATAGTATTATAAATTGTTTGAATTGAAAGTACAAGGTGGAAGACCCTTTTTTGTTGAATCGTTTAGAGCTCCAAAAGGCTGACCTTTGTATCATTATCGCCATCTACAAAATCTAAAATAACGGAAACATTTACGCTTACAAATACTCATATCTGCTATTGCAGGATACATCTCATTACCCTTTATATTCTGATACACACAAAATAATAATAATAAAGAACACCGATGTTTGTGTAGAACGTGCAGAATCCTAAGGTCTGCCAGATCTGTTAAATGCCAGGCTAGGGCCTATATCAAAAACTATAAACAAAGTCGAAGACTTTACTCTTAAGAACTTCTGAAGAAGATAGGAAACACACATACAAACGTGTTAAGCGTCAGCCATACAAGACCACATTTACCTGATAAATCAGATCCAAGTCCCTGAGAAAGTCCTCCGAATCGGTAAATGTCAACCCAAGGTCGCCAGCCCCCCTAGCCAGGCCCACAGGCTCTCAACATTGCCGAGGACATCACTAGACATCGTTAATGGTGAGACCTCTAAAGTAGCTAAATACAAGAATACTATAGAACACATTTACCTGGTTTATCCAAGTCACTGAGAAAATCCTCCGTGTCAGTGTAGGCCGTGGAGTGACCCAAGGCCGCCAGCACCGCCAGCCAGGCCCACGCAGCGCAGCGGCTAGGGCCGAAACACCACGCCCTCAACATGGCCGAGGCCACCACTAGGCCTCACTTGGGCATGACGCACTTCACTAACACTTTTGCAGTTCACTTTCGCACTGTACACAAATTTTGATCTCTTGGTAGGCTACCTGAAACAAAAATGTTAACTTCGATTAAATATTTAGTAGGTATCGTACTAAAATGTCTTTGTATAATGTAGGTCGAATAACATAATATTTAACTAAAGAAAAAATATTGATAAGGCGGTCACCTAGATGAAGAAATGTGGCAAATTCGACGCCTATCTTACATTAGAGGCCAATTAAATTAAATTTCTTGAGATACAATTATTCAAGCCGTTAATTATTTCAATAAACAGCACTGCATAACGTCAAGGAGCTTATAATATTTTTAAAAAATCTGTAAAAGCTATTTCCTTTTATTTATTTGAAGTTATTATACAGCGTAGTAGAAGTTATACTAAATAAGTTAAATGGGAGATGCAACAGCTTAAGTGTTTTTCTTAACATTAAAAAATATAGACTATAAATATAAAATACTTTTATTATTATAAAATGATCAATACCTCATTCTGTAAAAATAATTAAACGCGAGAATTCCGAAAACGCTTTGGTAAATTGTATAACTAAAATAAACATTAATTTTTATGCCCTCCTTGTTTTTGTTGTTTATCTCATTTTACCCATAAATCAATAACTTGATACTAAATTGGCAACCCTAAAATTTCTAATTTGACGACGCGGAATTTACTAAGCAAGGTAAATTGAACGATGCTAATCAAGGTTCTTGAACGGATTCGAGTAATATTATGCTTGAAAGATGACAGGCTTCCTGAGCCGCTACAACGGCTGACTGAACCACTAATGTCGCACACTTCCTTCGATTCACCGGGCCTCGTAGGTTGCGCACTGGATCACAGCGGATTGTTGGTCACATTGACATAACCAAAAGTAGTTGTACGGAGAATGCGTATTCGTTATACCGTAAAGCAGAGCTTTTACAAAACTTTTGACTTTAAGAAGCCGAAACATTAATTGTAATTCCACTATATTCAAAGAAGCGGACGACTACTTTTAGGCGATAATCGCTTGAGTTTGAATACAATGAGAGAAATCACTATTTATTTATTAGGTCGACACAGTAACTATTTAGCCTAAAATATGTAGATCTAACGCAGGCTTCCTTTCGAAGAAATATAATACAGAATATATAATGGATGCTCCTGACTCTTTTCTACAAAGACTCGAATCATGTTAGAACTCAGACCCACTCGCTATCAGCCCGCTCCCCGCTATCACACAGTATGTAGCTTTACATCGAATTGTTTTAACAATCAAAGAAATTGTCTTTGTCTTCGACGTATTTCACCAACTAATAAGCCTCTACGCCTGCCTAAATTAATGTTTGCCGGCACTCGATGAACTCGGTGGATGTTACAGAATGACTATGATTATCCCTAACTGGCCTATATTTGTTTGATCAGACTATAGGGAGGGGTAACAGTAATCGATCTCTCTACGATAATAAATTGAAGTCTATTCGTGATAGAAAGGTTATTCTAAAAGTTTCGAACAAGCTTCTGGAAACAAGTTGGATTATAAAAGGATTTCTACATTGATTACAATAGGTAAGGCTTACTTCGATACATTTGCTAATAACAATTACGCTCTAATAGCTTAGGATAACGTATAATATAAGGCTCATTATACATAAAAAAAACTATGTTTACAGAATTATATTGAATGCTTGTAAACGCATACCTACATGCAATATTTATTTCGACTAATTCCAAATTTGACAATAATTGCTTAAATCATAAAATGCTAAAACGTGTTGAACGTTTGGGCGTACGTAACGATATAAACACATCTTTATTGACACTTATTAGCTGATGTTTGTGATGTGAAAATTGACGAGTAGGTATGCAAACAGTACACAGTTCTAAACATTCATTAAAAATATTACACCCACTGTCGAATAATACCGAAACAACATAAAAGAGCCCACACGATAAGGCAATTTATGTTCCTCTATCGTTTACTATCCACTAATGATTCAAGAAGAAACTAGTTTGGAAATCAAGGTCTAACCGTACCTACCAAACAAATCAATAAATATTGAAAATTATTTATTTGAATTCCGTGCGTTAATGCAGTATTTTATTTGACAATACACAATAAAAGGTAGAAATATGATTAATAAATCACAATGCTGCGGAACTAATGGCTTCGTGCATTTGGAAGCATGGAGGAGGTAAGATAATACATTTTTGGTCACCTATTCACTGATGAAATGTGCCTTAGTAAAGCTACTGACTACTGTTGCCTTTTAATGTAGGTACTAAGCTACCTGATCTTAACTTTATTCATAAAATAAGATATTAATTTAAACAATATGTCATAAACGTAACACTATTAACAATATTTATAAATAACTTTGGCTATACATGGTTTTTAATAAAGTTGCTTTAAAATGGATTTTAGTTTTTAGGTTTTACACTATCAGAAGTTTTATTTCAATGTTTAATCTAATATATACTAATATTCTAATATACTAATATAATAAAGAGGAAAGATCTGATTGTTTGTTTGTATGTTTGTTTGTACTGAATAGGCACTGAAACTACTGGACCAATTTGAAAAATTCTTTCACATTTAGAATCATGCATTATCCCTGATGAACTTAGGCTATAGAATATTTTCAAAAAAGTTAGGGTTCCGTGTGAAAACTTCTATAATATAACCCGTCGCGTACGCTCTATGTATCATAGACAATAGAGCAAAGTGATGTACTAAAGTTTTATAGAGGACAACAATAGCTACAAAAAAAAAGTTCGCAACATCATATGTCCAACTATTACAGTTATTTCACAACTAGTGATCCCCTGCGGTGTCATCCGCGTTAATTTGGGGAAAAAGGTTATAGTGAATCAAACTTAAAAAATGGATATATGCTGCCGAAGACTTTTTTATAGAACTTTTAAAGGGGAACAATTCCATCATACATGATTTTTGTGTAAATTGAACCGTTTACCCAGTGCATGCAAAGAAAACTCACGAATGGAATATTTTACCAGTTTTTGTAACATTTTTCATCGATGCTCCGCTCTTCTTGGTCCTAGCGTAATCTTATAAAGCCTATTGACAAATGCACTATCCAACACATATTTTTTTTTTTGGAATCAGACAAGTATTTACTGAGATTGGCGCGTTCAACCAAAAGAAAAGAAACAATATTGCCGAATCAGACTTATGAAACACGACGCCACCCAATGCCACGCCATGCGTGTTGACTCAAATCAAAATGTTCTAATTTCTATGATCAGAATCACATTAGAGAAATCCGACGCAACGATTAGAGCAATAATTATGAGTGATAAAAAGGATGGGTGTGTACAAACCACTACGTCACTGGATACATTTAATAATAAGGGCATGGACCAATACCATTGGTAACACTTTCTTTGACAGCAGAGCAATTGTGCATTCTATACTACAAGTCCTAAACCACGTAACAAAATTTACACTATCAGTTAAATAAATTTTCACGCAAGGTTTATAATTATATGAAGAAAGTCATTAGCCCGAGAACAATAACTATAGTGTACATTACAGCTCTACACCGAAGCGAAGCGAGGGCGGACCAATATACTGTATAATAGGGTTGTTTTGGAACTGTGAACTAATAACCTTTCAATATGAAATAGCTTCTCTGGAGACTGTTTTTGTGTGTTATTGAGTTAAGCATTAATTAGGACTAGATTCTTATTTTAAGCCTTCAACACATTCAAACAGAGAACAATAGTTTATTACCTAAGTTATCAATGAACAATATAGTAATCCAATTTCGTGCTACGTTAACTAACAATAGCAAATGCTTTTTATTTCAATAATCTGATATAATAAAAGATGAAAAAAAGGTGAAGTTTTATAAAACCAAAATGTAAGTGATACTTTTACTATGTGGAAAAAGTTATTTATTATTAATAAAAGAAGTTTTTCCTCGGTTGGGAATCGAACCCGGGCCGGCCACGTAGCAGGCGAGTTTTCAACCACCGAACCACCGATGTTTGTTGTTTATCTAAATCTTTAAAAAACAATTCAAAATGTAATGCGGCATACTAAAGTGCTTACAGTGGGATCTAAGTGCAAGCCACGAAATGGAAGATCGCATTGGCACGCATCCGCTCATACATTGTGTGAAGGAAAACGAGCCAGCGTTTAAATGCACATTCAAATTCACGAACTGATTTAACACCGACATTTGACCAGGAGCAGTAATAAGCTCAACCCTACATATTTTAGAGTGATGGACGGAAGGTGACAAGGCCGGACCCGACTCACGGAGACGTGGTCGGGCATACAAATTGGGCACACGTGTCGGCCCACCACGTACAGTGGTTTGACGTACGGCCAGGGAAAGTGTTAGATAAATGCGACACCTTCTGTAGAAGGGGTAGCGCGGAGTTCGTTATACGATGTGTGTGCAGTGTAAGCAAAGCGCGGAATGCGTAAAATTTTGATCGAAGTTTAAAATTTTGTTGTTGTTACGAATTAACTTGTATTACATAGAGCAACACGGACGGAATACGTTGTCATATTGCCTTAATTTTTTGTTTCTGTTTGCATATTTAATGGAACTCCCCCTAACTAAGCAACTAATCATCATCATCATCATCAGCCTATTAATGTCCCCACTGCTGGGGCACAGACTTTCCCTATGGATGGAATAGGGAAATTGGGCCATGACCCGCCACGCGGGCCCAGTGCGGATTGGCGAGTGCTACCGACTGCAGATGCAGCCGGGACCAACGGCTTAACGTGCCTTCCGAAGCAAGGAGGAACTCGAGACAGAAGTTTTTGGTCACGCATCCAATGACCGACCACTGCGAAAGTTGCTTAACTTCAACCATTGCAGCCGAGCGCGCTAACCACCTGCGCCATCGAGCTCCTCCTTAAGCGGCTAATAAAAAGTTTTAAAATATGGTTTTCTTTGGTGTGTATGCTGTTGATCGCAGATGACCT